TTAATTTTAATGCCGAGAAGGGGTCCATGAAACCAAAGAAAAACGATAAGCCATCGAGTGCAACAACTCTTTTCCAAGAGGTCTTTGTTGATGAAAGAGACGGGGCAGTTCAAACTACAGTGCACCATGATGGCCGAGGTCACAACCCAAAAACAACCAATGGAGAAGTCTCCTATTGATGTGTTTGTGGTCTCCATTCAAATGGGTGTTCCGAAGAAGGCAGAACAAAATCCTGAGCCACAAAGATCTTATATGGAGTTTCTCATGAAGGATAAGTGGTGTGTGGTAGAGTACTAGAGTCCATCTCGAAAGACGGTGCCACGGCGATGAGAGTCCGAGAGAGGATGATCTGGAAAAATATTATCCCAGAGAATGATGAACCAAAGTGCCCTACTATCCCATTCAGAGTCATAGAGAAACAACGCTACCATCGAGTTGACAATGTCAATAAGCTCTCGTGCTAAAGGTGCTTGGCCACACCTATTGGCTATTAGCGAAAATAGTGCTAATTATGGATCAAGACAAATGAAATATTTGGTGTTTAATCACTCAATTTAGAAAACACTCAAAACAACTATAACCTTATAATTTGTCTTATGGTTAACACTTAAAATAAACTAGCTCACAAAAGAACTATATAACGCACAAAACAACTTTGTGCCTTTTTCTTTTCTTCCTGGTGATCTCTCCAATCACTTTACTAACAACCTGCATTCCATACAACACATATATTGAAGCATCCCCAGTCAAATTCACTGCCTCCACGAGTTTCGTCAGACTTTGAATTGCTTTTCTGGACCAGTCTCATGCTTCGAACCATCGTCAATGGCGTTGAATCGTCCATCCTTCTTTTCCCGCCATCGTGAAACTTTAAATTTGCAGAACCCATAAATTCCAATCCGAAATTGGGAGTTTTTATTCAGGTATCTCTAGGTTAATTCGATTGATCCTAGAGCATCCTCGGACTTTCCTTGATGATTCTGCAAGAGCCACTTGGGTCGAATCATCCCCGATTATTCCAACTCATTCACTCGATTTTTCCCCGTGCTCGGCCAATTTCATAGGAGTTTTTGCTCGAATTCGATCCATCAATGGAGCTGGATTCGGATCAATCTGAGCAAGGAAAAACATTCCTGAGGCCTCCTGGAAGGTGTGGGCGTCGCTGGGTTGGTTTAACTCTTGCTCCAGAGTTCCCCCAATTCGTTCTCTCTCCTGTTCTGCTTCGGCGAGATGGCACAGAGCTGTTGACGACGATGGACCTTCTGCTTCTTGTATCCAGTGAGCTTGAACCGCTTGGCAGTTTTTCGATTTTGGCTTGAACTTTTAAGAAGTTTGAAAAATGTCCCTCCTGGCATTCACTCGAACACCCAAGCACTCTACCTTGTAGTCGTAGAGAAGCTTTCCATCTTCAAAACAAACCTCTAATTTCCCATTTCCATTGAGCAAAATGTGAGAAACAGGCGTGCACAGTAAGCTTCCTGAAATAGAATAAACACTTAACAAATTTTGTGGGTTCTTGTTAGTTGGTGATATTGCTTCTCGATCAAGCAATAAAAAATTGTAGGATGAGCCAATTGAGATCATATCACTTGCCTTGTTTGTACTTGATCAAGTATGGGAAGGACTCATGAACTCAACCCAACGAGCATGCCTCTTGTTCAATTTGTGTTGGGCCTTCAATTGCTTCATCAAATCCTCCATTCCAAGAAATCAAGAACCTTCTTCAAGAACCGCAAGAAAGCTTCCAAGAACTCTCGAAGAACTTCAAGAAGTCTTCAAGAATCCCTCCACTCGTCCAAGAATCTCTTGTGTAGTCAATTGCTTTCTGCAGTGAGCTCTCTTTCGCTAGGGTTCAAATCAAGAGAAAGGTCTCGCACTGGAGCATGCCACAACAAAAGGATAGTCCACTATGTATTTCATTATTTCCGGAAGGAAAAAAGAGAAATACACATCATGGTGAACCTGTCCTTGTGATCGGGATGAGATGGTTCCCTTCAACCATCTTCAATAGAGAGCTAGAGTGCCAAATCCTAGCTCTCATCTCCCTCCAATAAGCAAGAAAAGTGCCAGAATGTAAAAAAATATTTGAGGCTATTTTTGGCCCGATACACGATAAGAAGTGCTAAAGCATCAGCAACTACGTTCTCCTTGCCTTGTTTGTACTTGATCACGTATGGGAAGTAGTCGATGAACTCAACCCAACGAGCATGCCTCTTGTTCAATTTGTGTTGGGCCTTCAATTGCTTCATCAAATTCTCCATTCCAAGAAATCAAGAACGGTAAGAAAGCTTCCAAGAACTCTCAAAGAACTTCAAGAAGTCTTCCAGAATTCCTTAACTCGTCCAAGAACCTCTTGTGTTATCAATTACTTTCTGTAGTGAGCTCTCTTCCGCTAGGGTTCAAATCTAGAGAAATGTCTTGCTCTGCTTTGACAGAGCATGCCACAACAAAAGGATAGTGCACTATATATTTCATTATTTCCGGAAGGAAAAAAGAGAAATACCCATCGTGGTGAACTTCTTCTTGTGATCGGGAGATCAGAGATGGTTCCCTTAGGCCATCTCCAATAGAGAGCTAGAGTGCTTAAGTCTAGCTCTTGTCTCCCTCCAATAAGCACAAAAAAGTGTAAGAATGTGGGTAAATGCCACATTTAGTCACTAAGATTACTAATCGTGTCATGTTTAATCACTAGAAAAAATTAATATAAATTTTGGTCCCTCAAATTACTGAAACATGTCACATTTAGTCACTTTCCCGTTAGTTTCCGTCCAAAGTCGCACACGACCCGTTGCTTCAGCTTCCTTCCCCCGCATGTCCTACACGTACTATTGGCCGCCTGTTCTCTTTTTTTTTCTTCTTTTTTTGCCATCCCCCTGCTCTATCATGTCATTCTATTACAATTAGTAAATACTTGTGGAATTCATTTGGAAATTCCATCTCAATTCCTCGGAATTGCTATAACTAGTTCCAATTTCGTAGAATTCAAAATTTAGAATTGAAAATGAATTCTTTTTAATACCAAACACAAAAATATTTCATTTCAAAACGAATTCCTCAAAACTTATAGAATTCATTTATACCAAATGGTATGTTAGAAATTAACCTAATCAATTTCCATCTACGTATTAAGTTCTGGTATACTTAAAGTAGTCAAATTGGATAGAAACTAATCTATTATCTTAATTGATGATATGAAAAAAATTCAAAATTCAAAATGTTCGTTTTAATTAATTATCAATATCTGTAAACTATCTAATTAAAATTTAACACTTTGACATTCTAGCATTCCTTGTTGGAGCAAAATCCAATTTCGAGAAGTCAAAGTGTCAAATTCATCTATTCTAGCATTTTGGCACTCTCTTATTGGAGATGGTCTTAAAGATGGATCCCAGCTAGGCAGCGGCAGATCTAGGGGGGCCGCCTCCGGGCCGCGACCCAACACTCCTCTGAATCAAAGCTACGGCCCAACCCACTTTACCTCTATTCAAAATATGGGCCAGTGCTCTACCCGATCCTAGATCCGCCGCTACAGCTAAGTCACTTATAGAGCTAAGGGCGGGGTCAATGTCCAATCAACTGTTACGGATTTGATGCAATATATGGCTGGGATGATACTGAAGTTTGGACCTCAGCCCCCTATTTTCATTGGACCAACTAGTTTCTGATTCTTGTATTTCTTCACACTAATGAAATAAATCAAATAATACAGGATCTTTTATTAAAAAAATATCTAGAGCAGGCCTGGCACCAAGGTTGTCAAACCGGTTTATACCGTTGTGCTGGTTTGGCAAGTGAAATGGTACGACCGATAGTATAACCAGTTTGTGCCGGTTCATGCCGGTTTAAAAAAATATGAAAATAATTAATATCCAATGTATTTAATCATATATAAAATATATTTGTGGACAATTTAGTTACAATCCAACAAATATCATCAACTTTTAACTATTACATTCATAAAATGAATAATAAACTAATTTTTTATTCATTAATTTCATTAAAATAATGTCATTAAACTTAGAATGTGTAAGTCGATCATACCGGTCATACCAGTGGTGTCATGCCGGTTTCATGACCGGTACAAGTTAAACCAGACTCAACCGGGTGGCATGCCACCGACATGACAACCATGCCCGGCACACAGCACACATCGTACCTTTCAAAAAACAATGCAGTCAAAAGCGCGATTCTACCTAGAAGCGGAAAATAGGTAAAATCGTAAAGCGTAGAATCAAAGCATAAAAGCGTAAGTTTTTGACGCATACTGAAAAATAACTAAAAATCTATTAAGTAGGACACATACTATGTAAAATATGAATGCACATAATTTAGATAAGTTAATAAATACATGCAATTCATGTCTAAAGCAGAGCAACTTATAGCATCTTAATAATAAGTTCGTAAACATAAAATTTAACTATAAGCCATTTTTTCCTCTATGCTAATGAATTCGGGAAGAGCCTAGCTGGTGAATTAGATTACTCTATTGAAATTGAGAATGCATCCAAGTACTTGGTATGTATCTTTTCATCTCAAATGCATCATATTGTTGGTGATTTACTTTTAAATATTACTTTTTATAATTAATTTCATGAAAAGAATACCCATTTAGTGAACTAAAAGCGTAAAAACGTAAAGCGTTTTGGTGAACTAGAAGCGTAAAAGCGTAAGCTTTTAAGCTTTAAAGCGCAATTTAGTCCGATTTTATACACTTAAGTTTTTATATGGAAATGAAAGCGTTTTGGTGACCAAAAAGCGTAAAATCGTAAGTTTTTAAGTTTTAAAACGCGATTTTAACTGCATTGTTTCAAATAATCAAACAAATCTTCTCGGGCCCTAAAATTCAAATAAATACCAACCTAACAAACAAACAAGAAACGGTTCAACCGAGAAAATTAATGATAATAATATTCAACCCATGGCATTTTCGTTATTCCTATAACATCGAGGGCAAGTAAACTAATTCTTTATTATTCCACGCAAAACCTCATTCCCCGTTCCGTTACGCTACCTCTGCGTCCTAATTCCTATCCAACTTAAAGAAAGATATAGCGAACTATATAAACGAAAACCAAACTTCTCTTCCTCTCCTACAGACCAAAATAAATAAAAAAACACTTTGCTAATTTTTTCTGCGATCCATTTCTCAACTCTCCCGTCTTCCGTCCCTTTCCTCCGCTGGTCTTCTCTCTCTGTGCGTGTTCGGGGTTAGGGTTTATTTGTTGACCTTGACCCAAGAAGCGATGGGGCAGCAATCGCTGATCTACAGCTTCGTCGCTCGGGGAACGGTGGTCCTGGCGGAGTTCACAGAGTTCACCGGCAACTTCACCAGCATAGCCGCTCAGTGCCTCCAGAAACTCCCCGCTTCCAACAACAAGTTCACTTACAACTGCGATGGCCACACCTTCAACTATCTCGTCGACAACGGCTTCAGTAAAGACCTCCCACTCCTTCCTCTCTCGCCTCTTTGGTTTCTCTCCTTTTTCCTTGTTGTCTTTCGGCGTTCTACTGATCTGTGCTTGTCCTTGTTCGTCCTGTTTGTACCTGTGCCGTGGTTGAGTTGAGTTGTTGGTAGAGTCTGTGATGGTGCGATCATTGGTTCTGGCTGGCCATTTCCTCCAGTTTGTCGATCTTGTTCTGTTTCAGGTTACCCCAGATTACCAATTATTCAGATCAGGAACACAGTCTTTGTTTGCATTTGCTGATTATTATTTGTTGGATTCGCTTGGTTGTTGCCAAGTGTGAGTAATTTTGAATTTCCTTGTAGATTTGGATGTGTAAGTTTTTTTTCTTTTTTGAGGTTTACACTTCCAAGTATGGTGTATTGGGTGTAAGGATTATCTGATGTTAAGATTCTGATTCGTCATTGGAGCTCGTCCTAACGGCATATCTATTTGTTGAACTTGGGTGTAAGGATGAGGTTTAGAGGCCATAAATGGTATTAGGCGTCTCATGATCAGATTCTAGTTTTCCATCATAGGAGCTCGTCCTAATTGCAGTCTATTTGTTGAACTTGGAGCCCTGAAACATTATTACATGGACTCTGAGATGATGATGATGATGCCCTATATTTGTTTCTCAAATAAATGGTTGCGGGCTGTTTATGTGTGAATCTCCATTCTTCTACTGAGCCAGTATATATCAACCTGAAGTTAGATTATCTGATGGGAGGTTGTCATTTTTTAATTACTGGGAGTGTAATCAACCTTCATTAATTAACTTCCACAAACCCCTGCCACTTTTACTTTTTCTCCAAGCATAGTGCTTTCAGCAGTTCTTTTTCCACCCTCATTTGTAGTTTTGTTATTCTATGTAATGAGGAGAACTCTCAAGGAGTTGAATTGAGAACCCTGTTTAGTAAAACCGAAGTCTTCCCAGCCTGTTGTGCTGTGCTTGGTGTATTCTTCTCCTGTTTCATGGAAGGATTAAGTCTCTACCTGTGAATTTTCAGCCTATTGTGTGGTCGCTGTGGAGTCTATCGGGCGACAGGTTCCGATTGCTTTCCTTGAGAGGATTAAGGAGGACTTCACTAAGAGATATGGTGGAGGAAAAGCTGCAACAGCAGTTGCCCAAAGCCTGAACAAAGAATATGGGTGAATTATTTTAATGCTTGGAAATGTGGGAGCTAGTCTTGCCTTTTCTGGCAAGCCATGTTCACATCTTGGTTCTTGTGCAGGCCCAAGTTGAAGGAGCAGATGCAATACTGTGTGGATAACCCAGAAGAGGTTAGCAAACTTGCTAAGGTGAAAGCTCAGGTTTCTGAAGTTAAAGGAGTTATGATGGACAACATAGAAAAGGTATATAACAGTTAATTTCATATGGAAATTCCAACTATGGCTTTCTTAATTTTCTATTGTTTCCTTATCTTAACGGTTGAAAATCTTTCTGATAACTGGGTTTTCTGTTCCTTTAAGTCTAGCACTGGTTAAGGGCAATGATGGAAACATGTATCAGTTTGTTCACTGATTTTCTTTGCTGCTACAGGTACTTGACCGTGGGGAGAAAATTGAGCTTCTCGTTGACAAAACCGAAAACCTTAGATCTCAGGTATGTTTGGATTACCATGCTTTTCTCCCTGGACATGAGTTGGTCATGTTTAGATTTGAAATTAGTAGACACTAGACAGGGTCAAGATTTTCTGAATCAAGGAATTGTGCCCTTAAACCTGATTGACATTGTCAGACCCAGGTCATGAAACTGTTGATAGTGTTATTATCTGTTTCTTTCTCTCTTGATTTTCAAAGATGAGTTATCACTTCTCTGATTTGTCTCGTGTCTTTCTTAAAGCTGTGCTTGTTGGTTCTCTCTTTTCCATAGAAATAGAAAGCCTTTACAGTTTACATCTCCTAAAGAACGCCTTCTCTCTCTCTCTCTCTCTCTCTCTCTCTCTCTCTCTCTCTCTCTCTCTCTCTCTTCTTTGTTAACTATTCCCACTTGGTGAGTCTTTTTTAGGTGTTAAGTGTCTACTTCACTGCAGGCTCAAGATTTCAGGCAGCAAGGGACCAAGATGAGGAGGAAGATGTGGCTGCAGAACATGAAGATTAAGCTGATAGTGCTGGGGATCATAATCGCATTGATTCTCATCATAGTATTATCTGTTTGCGGCGGTTTCAAATGTCATTAGTATCAGTTTCTGCTGCCATGTTCGTTACGAGGGCTACCATATCCCTTAACTTGCGCTTGTACAGTCTTTCCCAACCTTTTTTTTTAAGTTTCAGAATTCATTGTAACGTTTCTTTGAGAGTGGATGCTCGTGATCGTCCGTGTTGTTTGCCCCGTTTTGATTGATGAATCGTAATCTCCTACTTGAATTGCCCAGAAGGAGCTGGATCGTCCTGGAAGTTGTATGTCAATTATTTGTTGTGCCTTGAAACTGGTACCTCCGAAACTGGAAATGAACCAGAAAGTGACATGAACCCAGGCGAAGTTGATACTGCCCGCCTGTGATGTTAAGCAAGCAGAGCGCCCTGCAGTTGGCATTATTTGACGGGGGAAATGAAATAACTAGAAATCAGTGTCTATACTCCCAAAATGGAGAGCCTACAGAGTGAAGAACACGCAGTTCTTGTTGTGGTGTTCTTCATCCGCTGATCTCGATGTTGTCTATCAATCTAACATTGCCGAACCATGCTGCGATGCAGATAACAACTGGCCTATCCACTTCCCCCAGTGTCTCCAAACTCTCTTGATCCACTATCTGGTAAAACACACAAAATAATGGGACTCAGAAATGCGAGCTGGTACATTGCGGCACAAGGCAACGCCAACTTATGAAGGCAAACTGGTCAGCTTGCCGGCAACACGAAACGAAATATCAAAGGGTCTGGTTGTTCAGATGCAAGGACTCACCTCCACATAATCAATCTTCCCTCCAGCCCCAGATATTGCTTGGACCAGAGTCCCTCGCAAATCGCTGCAGTTCGTCGTCTGGCCTCTCTCTACCAACGATTTAGCTTGGAAGAGAGACCTGCTTATGGACAGAGCCTGCAGACACCCGAAAAGATCAGACAAGAAAGAAAGCTAGGGTCAAATAGAAGATCAGAAAGCTGGTAAGCTGTTAAAGAGAGTGGAGAGGGTGGGAGAACCTTTCCTCGGTCCCCTGGGGAGAGGCGAACGTTGCGCGAACTCATTGCCAGGCCATCTTGCTCACGCGTTATGTCAGACCCAACTATTCTTATTCCAAAATCAAGATCTCTAACCTGCAGGAAGTTCAACAAAGCGAGATCCATCAAATCATCGGCAGTAACTCGAGACAGCGATAACCCAGAAAATCAACATTCTAGAATGGGTCTAACATCCGTAAGAAGCTTTTGAGCATAAACAAAACTAGCAGAAGGGAAAAGCTTAATGCTAGGGCCCGATCCGCAAATGATTGTTCTCCTATTGTATCAGAGAAACACATATCGACATTTCCACAAGAACACAAAAGAATTGGCATAAGAACACAAAAGAATTGGCATAAGAAGCTTATAGATTGAGCCCACCATTCGCTGAATAACTCGCCACTGCTGGTAATCCTTCTTCCCAAACACAGCCATGTCAGGGTCCACAATATTGAACAGCTTGGTCACCACGGTCGCAACTCCCCTGAAGAACACCGGCCGGCTCTTCCCGCATAACCCTCTCTCCAATCTCTCCACTTTCACCCACGTCTCGTGCCCGGCACCCATTTCTTCCACACACGACGAAACACCTGATGCCGGCGGCCCCTTTTCCCGTTCCTCTGACAATTCCTCGACAATATCCCGTTCCCCTTTTCGGCCAATGTTCCCGTAGTCGTAGAGATTGTGGGGATGGAAAACAGCGTCGACCCGGCGGCACCCGGAAACCGACCCGAGCTTCAGGATATCGCCGTGGAAGTCGGACGGATAAGTGGAGAGGTCCTCGGAGGGAGAGAATTGACCTGGGTTCACATAGATTGAAACGACGACGACATCCGCTAGGGATTGAGCTTTCTCGACGAGGGATAAATGGCCCTGGTGGAGATAACCCATTGTGGGTACCAAGGCTATGGTCTTGCCGCGGCATCTCATGGCACGTGACCATTTCCGCATCTCGTCTTTGTTGGTTATGATCTCCGGCAGCTCCTCCGGCGCCGCACTCCCTCCTTCCATAGTCGATGACGATGAGAGATCCCCGAGCTGTAAAGGGGAAAGGGAAATTCTATATTTTCCAATATCGAGTCCTCGTATTTGTATTTTTTATATGAGTGGGCTTGGGATACGCCGTATGGCATGCGGGCGGATCATCCGCGGGTTTGAGCCGACCCACCCGCATTTGACCCGACTTTCGTTAAGTGGGTGGGTCTATGGGTGGGTGACGGGTTGCGCTGGGAGCCATCCGTCGGGTGGTGGGTGGGTTGTGGGTGGGTACGCGGGTGACCCGCTCAACCCAACAGCAAAAAGACCAAAGTCGTTGGCGCTAGAGAGGGGAGAGTGGAGACGTTAGACATAAACTAGGACAGCTCCTGGAGTTTGAACCTCAAAGCCAACCTTCCAAATAACGATCCCCTCTTCTTCCCTTTATTTTTTCCTCTAATTCTTGTGCCTAGATCACTGCTCTTTCCTTTGTGGAATTATTTTTCTTAGTTCCTTGCACCTGATAATCATCTCAATCTGTAGAAAACTCTTTCATCATAGAATTTCTATCCATTTTAAGAACTAATTCGACATTTTTCGCCCTATTTCATCTTCTTGTTTCCCCATATAACTCTCTTCGCCTATTATCATATCAAGTTGACTCCTTTATATTATATACATTGTGATGTGGGTGAACCCACAAACCCACCCAAATCATCCACCATCCGCCCAACCCAACCCGAGGCTAAATGTGGGTGGGTGGTGGGTTAAAAATTATCAATCCGTTTAAACGCGGATGGGTGCATTTTATGGTCAAAATCCACCCGACCCACCCAATGCCCACCCCTAGGATACGGTGAGTAACCCTGATCTGTAAGTAACTCACCCGGAGCCGTTGATCTAGGACGGAGCGATCATGTGGTTGTGATTGATGCGGGGTGATGAGGGGTATATCTGTCCGCTTTTTGAATTTTTAATTGTTTCCTTTTTTTTTTAATTTGTTCAGCATTTATTAGTTTGCTTTGCATGGAGGAGAGAGAGTTAGTGTCTTATCTCTCTTTTTTTTTTTGACAAATCGTAAAGCTTAGATTGCAAATCGGAATAACACGGTTACAAAAAGGGGAAAGCTCCCTGAACCCAGCAACAGAAAAAGAAAACCACATGTCCAAAAGAACATATTGTGCAGCAGAGAAAAGCCCAAGAGAAAGGGGCACAATACAACCAGAACAGAAACGAGGACTCCCTTCCAAAGTCCAAATCACAGAAAACAAAACCCCTTTTTGTATCCTCATCAATCCGATAAGCACAAAGCACAACACCAGCTCATCCAATACAGCATTGACCATGGAGATTGAGCAAAGCAACCCCAAAAGCCGCCTCCTGAGAGTTGTTCAAAGACGACCCATCACTGTGAATCTCCGATTCGGGATTACGCGGCGATGGACAGGACTGTGACCGGATTGCTCAAAGCATGATGCGACCGCCACAGCAATCAGAAGAGACACCCACTTCAGTCAACCGACACCTTAGGGGATGACGATGGAGAGGGAGACGGTGAATGCAATCACCCGAGAGATGACCACACCAAACATATGGAGAAAAGCATCAAACTGGAACTCTGAAAGAGGCTTCCCCAAACGGCATCTTCCGGAACAATGGAAGAGCAAGGCCAGGCCAGATCTAGAACCTCTATATCAGAACCAACAAGGATCCATCTCCATAAGAGATGAGGCAAAAAGAACCCACAAAGGGAACAAGGAAGGCCACAAAGGGCTTGAAAGGCAGGAAACGAAAGGAGGAAAATCTACAATCAAACAGAAAGGAGAAGAGCTTGGGCCACCGCCGGTCACCTTAAAGTGCCGGCGGCAGCCCTGAGGAAAAGAGGCTGAATTTTAGAGAGAAGGGAGAGCGAATTTGAATTTGAAATAGAGAGAGACAGAGAGAGAGAGCTAAAGTGTCTTATCTCTCCAACTCTCTTTTCCTCTTTCTTTGTTCCTTTCTCTCTCTAATTCTCTAGATCTAATTTCTTATTCTTTCTTCATTTTCTTTCTAGCTATCTCCTCTTTCTTTATTCCTTTCTCTCTTCCAATCTCCTTCTTCTCTAGATCTAATCTCTTATTCTGTTCTTCATTTTTTCTCTATAACAATCGATGAAGGAAAGGTGCAGCCTCCTTTTTTCAAGTCCTCAGCTTTAAAATTGGTGACGCTCCATATCAACCAAGAGGGGACAAATCTAGGTGAGTCAAGTTTGCATGTTTTAGTTTTTGTTTGTGGATTTTCAATTCCAATCTTCCTCGTTTTTTCTTCTTTTGGTGTTCTCTTTTGTGGAGGAGGAAACGAGAGGAGGCAGAAAAAAGGCATGTGAAGTACGTCTTAGTTTTATGTATATTGTTGTTACCATACTATACCATGGTGGTATTATGTGGTTGGTAACTAGATGTATATTATGGTTACCATACTATACCATATGGTAATGTGTGGTAACTCGATGTATACAATATGGTTACCATATTTTACCATGAAAGTAGAGTGTGGTAATCGACATCAATTCAGAGAAAGGAGATTCAGAAGACAATGAAGGGGACAAGAAACCGAAGAAAGTTGTAATTTTATATATATACCACACTATACCATATGGTAATGTGTGGTAACTAAATGTATTTTTATGCATACCATGTTTTACTATGGTCGTAGATGGTGGTAATTATATTTATATTTGTTGTTAAATGGTTTTACGTTCTCTTACCATGTGGTATTGTATGGTAATTATGATTATTTTATGGTCATTCGATTTACCATGTTCTACTATGGTGGTATTGTATGATAGTTAGATTTATAATTTTTTGTAACATATTTTACCATGCTATACCATGTGGTATTGTATGGTAGTTAGATTTCTAATTTTATTTTAGCATTTATACCATATGGTATTGTATGGTAATTAGATTTGTATTTTTCTTTAACATATTTTACCATGTTTTACCATAGTAGTAGAAAGTGATAGTCATATTCATACTTGTAATTACCCTTCTTGGCAGAGAATTATTAAATGAAAATTTCATCATTCAATTTGAGTTGGAGTTGGAGTAGAGAGAGCTGAGATTGTTGAATTCATATTTGTTTTAGAGATAGAGTTAGGGGTCGTTTGTTTGTTAGGATTTGGGATGAATGATTTAGCCAATACATGCATTGAGGAGATTAAGTTGTTTTTTGGTTTAATTTGGGCTCAAATACATGAATTACCTTTTTGGTGGTCCACTCACAATCCATCATAATGAATTATTTACAATCTCTCATTAAAGTAGAGATTGTAAACAAATGATTCTGGCCCAAGTTTCTATTCCAATTATATCCCTGATTTCTTTTCTTTATACCAAAATTAACCTCATCCTCCACTAACTCTCTCTCCTTACATCGACACACACACACAGAAGCCAAATAAAGAAAAAAGCTCCCCTGTTCCTCCCTCGACGATCTGCGTCGGAATTCCAGGAAACCGATCCTTGAACTCCTCTGCCTCTCCGCCCTGGTCGATCTGTGTGGTGTCCTTTTGTGGCCGCGCTCGTCGGGTGAAAAGCTTCATCTTGAACCAGGTTAGTCCTTCGATTCGAGTTGTTATAAGGTTTATCTATTGGAAGCAAATGCTATGGGATTTGTCATCTTGAGGGGTTGTGGCGGGTGAAAGTTTTCGGAATTGTGTTTGTAGCTTGGAAGGAAAATAGTTGGCAGGCGTTAATTTTGTTTACTAGGGTTAGAGCCTTTAATTTGGAACATTGGTTTGTAAAGAATGGAAATTGGTTGAACCTTTAATTTGGAACATTGTAGCGACGGTAGGTGTCAATATGCAAACTCGGTTTAACCTTTAGTTTCAATCATTAGGCATCACCATCACGACGAAGCCAGGACAGTAGCTATATCATGCCATCGGAAATCGTCCTGGATCGAAGGAAGAAGGGCCTTGAAGGAGACCAACCAAAATTCCTACGTGGTTATCATTCCATTTATTGAACAGGTATGTTACCCATATGTACTCGCTTTTGTCAATTCTTTCTTACCTCATTTCAACCCAGTAAATCAGATGTTTATGTCGTAGGTCATGGCTAGGTGCCCCAAGCAAAGGAAGAAGGCAATAATTGCTGCAGTGTCTATGTATTTGGACCTCTTATTCAATTTCATTAGGCTGATTATAAAGTATTATGATGCATTAGAATCTGAAGGTTTTCAAGCTATAGAGCATGTTTCTGCTTGGGAGACACCGATTGCTAGGCAATTAGCTAGGAATTCTTTCATGCGGTGTATTGTTTCCCACGGCGACATATCTTGCACCATGCTGGTTAGAATGAATTGTAGGACTTTTCAGAAACTATGCAACCTTCTTAGAGATGATGGAGGCCTTAGGTGTAGTTCGAATATTGAGATTGATGAAATGGTTGTCATCTTCTTGTACATGATAGCCCATAACGAGAAGAATCGCCAAATGCAAGTTACCTTTCGTCGTTCAGGAGAAACGATTTGTAGGGTCATTAAGCGTGTTCTTCATTCGGTTTTAAAACTTCATTCGATTTTGCTTCGTAAACCCAAGTCGGTTCTGGAGAACTCCGAGGATCCTAAATGGAAATACTTCAAGGTATATGGGTACTGATGTGTTATATGAATTGCTAATTTGTCTCTATGAACAACTAATATATGATGATTTTTCCCGTTTAGAATTGTTTGGGTGCACTTGATGGAACAATAGTCAATGTTCGTGCAACGAAAGAGAATCAAGAAAGATATCGTACTCGTAAGGGAACAATTGGAATGAATGTCCTGGGAGTTGTTAACCAAAACATGGAGTTCATTTATTGTTTGGCTGGTTGGGAGGGGTCGGCTCATGATGGCAGAGTTTTAAGAGATGCTCTTATTAGGCCAAATGGGTTAAAGGTTCCTAGAGGTAATTTTGGTTCTGCTGCTTTCTCTGTAATGATGTTTTATTGGTATATACACCAGTCATAATTCTGCATTGTAGTGTTTAAATTTGTTTGGCAGGTTTTTATTACTTATGTGATGCAGGTTACAGTAATTGTGAAGGGTTCTTATCCCCTTTCAGAGGTCAACGGTATCACCTAAAAGAATGGGGAGGAAGACGACCAAGAAGTCCTTAAGAAATATTTAACATGAGGCATTCCACAGCAAGAAATGGAGTAGAGTGAGCATTTGACATACTGAAAATGCGTTGGGCGATCTTGAGGGACACAACTTGGTTTTCAACCCGTATGGTAACAAAAATTGTGAATGCATGCTGTCTGTTGCATAACTTCATTCGTGGAGAGAATGGTGCTGATGTGTTTGAGAGGTTGTACGTTGATGAAGATCCGGATGATGAAGAAGAAGTAGTGGATGAAGACCTCATTGTCCATATTCAGCCTTCTATACAGTGGTCCGATTTTAGACAACAATTGGCTGATGAGTTGTGGAATACTAGGAATTGGGCTGCTAATTGACTAGGTGTAGTTTGGTAGGCTGCACTCAATGTTAGTTCCATTATGATGCAGTGTAAGAACGAACTACACTCTAGTTTTTCCTTTTGGTAATTGAACCTCTTTGGGGTTGTTTTGTAACAGGGAGTGAGCTACTGAACGATATGTACTTCTCTAATGATGATGTATGCAGTGTTATAAATGAGTGGTAGTTATATATCTCATCTTATCAATGCTAGAAGTTTCTGATGTGTTAGATCTCTATAAGATCTCCATATTTAATACATGAGATGGTGGTTGGTTGCATTTAGTTCAAGAACTTCTTACATATGGTTACTGCAGTTCTGTTTCAGAGAAAAGCTTTATTATTCTGCTGTTCTTTTGTTTGGTCAGTATCTTCCTTTTGTCTACAGTCTTTGTTCTGCTGGTTTTATTCTAGCTTCTCTACTGTTCTACTGTTCTTCTATTTCTGTTTTACTAGATATGCACCTTGTCTTATTTTTCTGTTGTGTTAAATTTGTTAAGCTTTGTTATCTTTTCTGCAGTTGGTTGAAGATGGCAGCAAATGATGGTGCTGAGGGAGATCTTAACGCTGCTGCAGTTGCTAGCTTAAGGGAGTACAACAGATGGACAGAAGCTCATGATGCAGTGTTTATTGAGAGCATGCTGGAGTTGCTTCAGTCAAGGCAGGTGGAGTCCGGGAACTTGAAGAACGGGGGGTTCAAGAAACTTGATGCTTTGATGGTGAAGAAGATCCCAGGTTTTAACTTGAATGTCAAGTCCAGGCATCGATGGTTGAAGAACAAGTATAATGCGATTTACGATGTCCATAATGGGAGTTGCAGCGGGTTTGGCTGGGATGAGTCTAAAAAAATTATTGTTGCCGATGATGATGTCTTCAAGGAATGGTTGAAGGTAGCATATTCTTATTTCTTACTTTCGTTTGTTTTATAAGTACACTTGTTGATCATTACTGTCAATTTGAAACTTGTAGACCCACAAACACTTCTCTAGCCTCAACAACAAGGCATTCCTGTATTATGACCAGCTGGCCAGAATTTTTGGGAAGGACAGAGCTATAGGAGGCCAAGCCGGGTCTGCAGCTGACATGGAAGTTGAGCATCGTGTTCAAAGGGAGGAACCCATCATCTACGATGACGAAACCAGCCAACGTGTGCTAGAGGAAATCATAAATGAGGGTGTTGATCATAGGGATTTGCTCGACAGTCCACGAGCTGGCCGTGGCAAGACAACCAATGTAGAAGGAATCAACAAGAGGCAAAAGACTGATAAGAGTGCAGCTAGCAGTCAAGTTGTGGCTGCTGAGATTGAAAAAATGCATCCTCTCATGGAGAAGACTACCTCGAACATTGAGAGAATGGCTAACAGCTTCTGCCATGAAGATTCTTTGATGATTCGGAGAGATACTTTGTTTGAGGAGTTGTCAAGCATGGAAGTTCTATCACAAGATGAAGTGCTTTCAGCAGCCATAGTTCTTGTGAAGGAGGATAGGCTTGCCCAGCTGTTCTACCAACTTCCTACAGATGAAGAAAGGCTCAAATTCCTCCTTCGTCTCATCATGTAATGCATATGGACATGCTGTATGCTGCTGGTTTTCTTCTTTCTGCAGTTCTGTAATGCTAGTTTGTCTGCGGGTTTCCAGCTTTTGATGTAACGCAGTACGTTGGTGATTTAACATGCTAGCTCTGGTTTAGTTTGTAGTAGGAACTACTAGTAGGATTGTAATTTGCAACAGTTCTTTCCAATTCCTTTTGTAATGCAGAGTACTGGAGTTTTATGCTTGTAATGAAATGCTGGTTTTATTTGGACAACAACAAATGCAGTGTTCTAGCATAGAACAAACAAATGGAACTCCTGACTATTGCACAATGACAATCTTACATTAACAAAGTCATTAATCACTTGCTTACAAGTCACCCCTTACAATCCAACCATTACAGAACACCCCTTGCAGAAAAACCTCCCAAAAAAATTCCATTATGGATAAGCTTACATTAACCAGACAACTTGGACTCTAGAACATTCAACCTTGCTTTAATTTCATGTAACTCCTCCTTTCTATGCATACAGACCTCATAGAGCAAATGTCAGGCTGCAGATGTAGCCTTTCGACCAGTAGTTCAGCAACCTCTTCCTGGAGCTCATTGTTGCGTTCTTGAAGTGCCTCCTTCTCTTCCCTCAAATGAGCATTCTCCATCTTCAAGCCATACATCAATAATTCATACTTGTGCTTCTCCTTCTCAACTGCTATTTGTACATCTTTCCAAACAAAGAAACGACAGGCCTTCGCGGGCTGCACAGTAAAGTCCTCTGTTAGTGAAAGTGTGAAACAGACAAGAACTTGGCTTGTTAGTACACGACAAGCATATTAAGCACAATTGGGAGTTTGGCTGCTGTTGATCTTGGCTTGTTAGTTCACGGGGAGGCAACCAGACTAGGACTGTTCACTTATGTCCATGTGGGAAGTTCTCTACGGAAAGTGTGCAAAACCAGGAGATGTTACGGGAAGTTCTCTGATCAATTCACCAGGAATACAGCCTCACAATTATTTTATATAAGACATTAATTACAAAGGAAACCAACACAGCTGAAGACATCACCTGTTCTGGACTCCATTTCGGGCAGCCGAAGAACCTTCTATTTGGATTACTCGTTGTATGCGATGTCCTAACGATTGCAGGAGAGCCACACTTGCAAATGACAGAGATGTCTTCTTCATCGTTGTCGGGGATTCGCCGAAACCGCTACGCATCCGTCATTTGGTCGAAACTCACTGCTATTTTGCACGGACTGCTGCTTTACCAGACCTAACACCCTTCCCCGCCAGCTGAAATGGAATTAAAGGAAGAAGGAGTTGGTGAAGGGCAATTATGTCCTTCAACCTGAAAAGTGCACCACTTTTAGGTTATGTGAAAAGTAACGGGTCGTTTGCTTCATGGATTTGAAAAATGAGGGTTTTGGTAAAACTTGGGTTTTGGAAAACCATGGATATATGATGGATTTGGTGGCAGTATGGATTTGACCAAGTCTATTGTTTGCTTGTTGGATTTGATTATAGATTTTGTTTGAATAGATTTGTGGATATGAAATTCAAATTACCTTGTTACCCTTATCTTATCTAATTATATTTCTATATTATAATCCATAAATTTCATTATAAAAATCCAACTCATACAATGAAACTTTAAACTCTTTACCACTATGTGGACTAATAATTCAACTACAAATATAGAAATGTATTATAGTTTGGCACTAATTAACAACTCATCTGATAATGTACGCAATATTATGTATAAATTGCAACCAATTGCTCGTTTTATTGCTACAACTCATCAACTTCTTACTAACTCCCCGATTTTGGAATCCGACAATCAATCAAACAATAATGCACAAGATGAGCATAAGATGTTTATAGTTGAATCTAACAAATCACATATACATTCATATTTAAATAAACTATGATATTACAAAACGAAATGAAAAATTCTCATATATATAAATACGACATTATAAAAGTTTATAATTCCATGACCATTGAATTAAAGTAGGACAACTTTGAAATTAAAGTATAAGTAAGGGTAGAAAGGTAATTTACCATTATGGATTTTAATCCATCACCCAAATCCCACCTCAAGAGGTGGAACTTCCAAGTCCGTGGGGTCCACGGATTTGAAACCCCAAAAGTGGCGGGACCCACAAATTCCATCTTTCTAATTCCCTAAGGCAAACGATGGATTTTCGTTAAAGTCAATGATGGATAGATTTCCATGACCAAATCCATCACCAAAACCCTCAAGCAAACGACCCGTAAAATATACAACACCAAACAAGGGATTTGTCAAATACAACAATTGATAGAATACATGTATTTACAATACACTTATTGATAGAATACATCAATTGTATGAATCACAACCTCCAAACATGCCCTTAGTGTGCTGAGAGCATGTACTTTTTTTTCTTTTTTCAGTTGTAGATGGGAGAGAGAAGAAATAATTTAATTTTTCTTTTAATAATAGATAAAAGACTAACAGAGGGAAACATGTGGGGACGGGGAGTGGGGTCCACGTTCGGTCAAAAGAAGGCGTCAGGTCGTCAGCATTAAATGAGAGGTGGATGTAAATTACCCTAGTGCCCCTTCGTGTTTCATTTAAATAAAAGAGAACGGCTCAGATGTAGACACGTGGAGGACAGAGGAAGGTGTTACGCACGGTTACTGAGGATATGATTACTGACCTGATCCGGACCCATATGAGTGGTATTTTATTACCGTATCAATGTGATGTGACATCCTTCTGAAACCTACTTTTACCAAAAATGCCCTTATAAATATTTAACATTATATACTTGAAAAGAAAGCGAAAACGACATTACTGAAAACATGAAAAATTCTGAAATATTTTATTCAATAAACGTTCATCTTAAAATTAAATAAAGTCTCTCGTGCTACTAAGATACTAAATCAACAAAAATTTCTTCTGGAGTTCTTCAAGCCACTGATCTTACTCATGAACTGTTTATTTTTGAATGCAGGCGTATGGTCTATCCTAAGTCATAGGTTCATTATACTTGGCAAGAAAATAATCCAAAACGCTCATAAATGCATATACTCATGCATTGAAATGTTTACTTGACTTGAAATGATTTTCTTGAAAGGGGGCCTCAAGTTCGGCTTAATTAGCGCCAAAACGCCCATTCACCAAAACGTGATAACATAAACCTCCATAACTCTGGGAGGTAGGTAATCGTGCGCTAGCTAGGTGACCTTCCAGTACCAACATACTTGTTTAAGAGCTCCTTATATGAAGGAGTGGGTAACATAAACGAGACTTCCTCACTCTGGTAAGTGAGGGGTCGTGTGCATAGCTAGTTAAGTCAGGTTAAAAACATGATCTTGATTAATATGTATTTGTTTAACCTAACGTAACTTAAACTTTCTTGACATGAGGGTCATCCACACTGTGGGAGATCCAATCTCATGACTTCCTTGATTTATAAATTCATATGCAATACATGTTTGGCAGCATCCTATGCTCGTGACATGCATATATGATTAGGTGGCTGACCCATATATCAACCACGTATGTATATGTCCTTTATCATACTAGAGCAAATCTAAGGAAAGTCTAGGTGAGTTTGCCTATACGGCGCCTTTCCTTATTGTTTTCCTTCGTCTAGTAATATTGTTTTGTTTTGTTTTATTTATTTTCTACATCAAAAGTTGGGAGTAATGTCTACAAGATTGACTTACCAAGAGAGTATGGGATAAGTGCAACATTCAAAGTTTCTGATCTTACACCATATCCATATGGTAACTCAGATTTGAGGAAAAATCCTTTTCAAGAGGGAGGGAATGATGAGGTCATCAAGTCAAGACCAAGAACACTACACCAGAAGAAGGTCCAATCACACGTTCAAAAGCTAAGAAGTAAGGGGGGGGGAATATGCAACCTACTTGAGCAACTACTTTGTTAGCATGGACATGGATCTACTCAAGGGAATGCCCATAATGGTGTTACAGTACGAGGATTGAGATCAAATGAAGGACTTGGGAGATCGATTGGAGAAGAAGGGAGACCGAGTGAAGAAGAGGGTTGGTGACAATGGCGTAAAGGATCATCCAGTGCCCAGTTATTTTCAATCTTGTCCCGGCCTATCCAATGCCTCTTCCTGAAAGGATCATCCAGTGCCCAGTTATTTCTAATGCTCTGAATGGACACTCAGAGCACCCAACAACTTTATGAATCACGCAATGCACTTTCTTCTCCTAACTCCCCAACCCATGCTCTTTCGCTTCAAACTTAGGAGTGCTTATCTTTAAATACTGATGATAGCATGGCATATTCGCGTATAAGGCACAGAGGCAAGGAAGCAAAAGTCGGCTAGAAGGAGAGAAACCCAGTCACCAGCAGTCAAAATCTCATATGTGACTAAGCAGCCACTGACCGTTCGGAAACACCCCTGACCTATCTTGATTAAGACTTAAAACCTATAAAATAGAGCCTAATTTAAGATGTCAAACAAATGATAGAATGGAAAACCAAGAATAACCCACTAGTATGGAAGGGACCCTCCCAATTGGTGGGAATATTTGGATTTATGTTATATAATTTAGGGTTAATATTTTTTTAGGATGGTAATAAAGGTAGAGGTGTCAAGAACTCGACTCGAGTAACTCGTCAAATCAACCCGACCCGCATCCCGACAGCAACCCATCTGACTCGTAACCGGTTGACCCACAACTCGATTAACCTACAAATTGACTGTTCAAAACTGATTAATTCAAACTCGATTGGCATGCAATCCAGTTAAATCCGTAACCAATTGACCCAAACTTAATTACCCATTACCCACTTGATTGGCGTGAATAATTATGATATAATATATACTTTCAAAAATTCAAATTTTTGTTCTAAAACTAAATAAAACTATTTTTTTCATTTATAGTTTAAAATATAAAATTCACTTGAAATGATGTATTTTTAATAAGATAACAAAGTTAAAACATGAAATTAACTTGAACATAAGTACTTTAACAAAATGACAAAAAATAAGCGCATACAG